TTGTGGTACATCCATTAAATGGAATACTAGTTAGCAGTAGAAAGGAACACATTACTGATACATGTAACAAGGTGGATGAATCTCAAAGACATGATAAGTAAAAAAACTGGACACAAAAGGCTACATACTGTATCATTCCATTTATGTGACATTCTGGGAAAGGCAAAGCTAAGGAAACAAATTAAATCAATGGTTATTAGGGATTGGGGTAGAGGCAGGGGAGAAAGTGCTAGCTGGCATACAGGAACTTTTGAGAGCATGCAAAGGTTATATATCTTGAATATGGTGGTGGCTATAGGATTTCATATACTTTCCAAAGCTCATGAAAGTGTAAACTTTAAAAAAGGTGAATTTGATCTGATTGAATTACTGGACTGAATTTACCAGTTTGAAGTAGGCCTAACTAAAAAACAACAACAACAACAAAAAAACCCAAAACAAAACACCAAGGAAAATAATAAATCCAGCAAAGAAAGAAAGAAAAGAAAAGAAAGAAAGAAAGAAAGAAAGAAAGATGAAAGAAAGAAAAATTAGCAAAAGCATATCTATATATAGAATTTTCTATACCAGATGGTGAGCTGCTGATTTTAAATTTTGATAGGTAAGGCCAAATTGTCCTCCAAAATGGCTATACCAATTTATACCTCCACCAGTAGAATCTGAGAATGCCTATTTCCCCATGCTATGGCACAAATGGATATAATCAATTTTTTAAAAGTTCTGTCTATTTGATGGTGAAAAATGTTATGATCCTGATACTTCAGGCATGCACAGTTAAGCTCTTGGCCTAATTGGTCTCTCTCCACTTGCAGTCTTTTCTCTCTCCAAATCATCTTATATATTGTTAATAGAGTAATCCTTCTTGTGCCTGGTTCTAATAATATCTCATGAAAATTATTAACGATACCCTACTGCCTACAAAATTCTGTCCAGACCCCTTAGCCAGATATTTGAGTCCTTATTCTACCCCAGCTCCTACTTTCTCTCTTCTCTATGACTGTCTTCTCATTTTTAGCAGAAAAGGTTGACTCAAACCTCTAGTTCAATGGTTCTTACTCCCTTTTCTTTCCAACTTTTTGGGGGTACAGTTGATACATAACATTGTACAAGTTTAAGGTATACAATGTGATGATTTGATACACGTATATTTTAGGTAAGGTAGGCATAATCAAGGCTGTCATCAGAGAAGAAAGACTGAGGTTTGAGAGTAACCTTTTCCCCAAGATGACAAACTTCTGTATGAGAGAGCAGAGCTCAGAACTTAGCTATTCTGATTTCCAGTCCAGGGCTCTCCGTTTTACCCCCTCCTGCCTTCCAGCCATCTCCAACTTTCAGGTGGTCAGTCTGTCCTTCCCGTTTCTATTCTACTCCTCAGAGTGAAGGGGCCCAGGTCAAAAATACAACTAGCTGCTTCCATAGCATTTGTTGAAATATCAGAAAGTTACATGCCACGCAAGCAACCTATTAAATATTACTCTCCTCCTCCCTTGACTGACACACCTTCAAAATGACCTGGTAGGCTAGGTTCAAAAGCAGAGGGGCACCTGGAGGCCTCAGTCGGTTAAGCGGCTGCCTTTGGCTCAGGTCGTGATCTCAGGGTCCTGGGATGGGGTCCTGCGTCGGGCTCCCTGCTCAGCCGGGAGTCTGCTTCTCCCTCTGCCTCTGTGCTCTCTCAAGTAAATAAATAAAATCTTTAAAAAGAAAAACAACAAACCAAAAGCAGAATCCCCAGACTCCTTGAAAGTCTGAGCAGCCAAGTCAGAGTCATATGAATATGAATATGGAGCTTGTTTCACCCTCTCTCCCCACTCCTGGTTCTTGGCTTCATTCCCTTGGGCTTCATGGGCTCATCTCACCCTACCTGCATGTCTGAGTTCCCTTACTTCCCTGCAAACAACTACCCACGGCTGCTCCTTGGGACCAGACATACCTCGGCCCACCCACCCTTTGGGAGGAAGAGGCCACAGAGGCCCTGAAAGTGAATGTGGGGCCAACTGGTAGGGAATTCTGGGCTCCTGGGTACTGAGTGGGCTCCTGGTGGGGTGTTCCTTTGGCTTCTCAGACTCCTTGTCCTGTGGGGAGAGGTGCAGTTGGAGGAGGCCCACTCTGGGGGGGCCTCCGGTAAACTGGGCCCCATTGTGCTTAGGTCTAAGGGTGGCACTGATCCTAACTCCCTCCCCAAATCAGACAGCACACCTTTGGAGGACCCAGGCTGATTCTCCCCCCTCCCCCAGAGATCGTATTTTACTGGAAAACAGGAGATGGGAATTCTAGTTGGGGCTCAGCCCTAGGTAAATAAACTCACCTCCCTGGTTTGTTTCTTTCTCTGTACAATGAAAATTGTATGAGATAATCTCCAAAATCACTATTTTAATCTTTTATATCCCCTCCCCCCCAGCACTAACAGGTCATAGTACGTGCTCAGAAGTGTTTGCTGGATTTATTTTTTGCATCATTTGGTATGAGTACCCTAAGGTCTTGTCTTAATCTCAGACACAAGTGTGTATGGATGCGTGTGTTTACATATACATGTGCCCCTATACCACTTGTACCACTCAGTCTGTCTTGGACTTCCAAGTCACCAACCCCCTAGCTGGATGGTTCGAGCCCCAGGAGACATTTTCTTAGACACTCAAGCAGAATGCATTAAATCCTAACAGAAGGAACATTCAGTTTTATGCCTTCAGAGCTTGGAAACTAGGAGACCCTAGGGGTCTTTCTATAGAGAGTTGGTGACCTTGAGTCATTTCTGGTATCTCAAAGTTGCAATTGTTATTTCCCATTGATGTCAATCCCTTCTTAATGGCTTGGCCAACATTTTATCTTCTTTGAATTGGCTGAGAATGGAAAGGGAGCCTTCTTTCTCTGATACCCCAGGTACTAGTGTAGGTGGGAGCTTCCTGGAGGCTGGGGCCAAATCTGAAAGGTTGAACCACTTCACTGGGCAGGTGGATACTCTGGTTCAAGTCAACAAATGTACAATGAGGGTTTACTGGTGCTATGGGAATCCCTAAGCAGGATGACACCATCTTCGAACTTCATATTAATTTGGTCGGAGAGGCAAAACAAATTCATAAAAGATAAAATAATACAACAGGACAGGACAATTTAAGAATCACCCCAAGGCAGTGGTTTGTAGTCAAATGACATGTTTACACAATGAGTTCAGAGGATGAAGAAAGGCATGAACAAGAGGTCCTAGATCTCGGGCCAAAGTATCCCGGGCCAGACATGCCTGAATCGGCAGTGTTTTCACAGGGGAACTCACCTGGAGATTATGGGCTGAAGGCAAGGTTTGCAAAATCCTCTGGAAGCTGGTGAGGAATCAGTTGTTAAGAACATGGGACTGTTTATGATGGGGAGGCTTAATAAAGTACAAAACAAATTAGGAACATCAACAAGGCTATCTTTAACCTTTATGCTCAATTATCTTCCTTGAAACTAACAGGTAGGTACTTCTAGGAGGGTTCCTCAGCCTTCTTCAGAGGAAGGGCTATCACTGATTCTCCAATAATCTCACCAGAGGGTAAGTTGCCTGGGCCTAGCAGGGGAACGGGACTGGAGAGCAACCGGGACCCTTTTACCAATGAAGATGATTCACATTTTTCACTAACCACTATAGCTTCCCAGGCAATAAGATAGTCTCCCCAACTCACATCTTTAGTCCCCTGCGTGGTGCAAGCCTTCTAAGAGGATGCAAAGATCCAAAATTGCCAATTCCACGTTCCAAGACCTTTACACCAGGTGTCTTCAGAGTTAGATGCCTGGCACGTAGCAGTTACTTGACAAATGTTAACTCCCTTCTTGACTTTCCTCGTTTCCCCTCCATTCCCAAACTCTGACTCCCCAAACGCTTATCATCTGACCTTCTCTCTATTGCCCAAGAGAGCTGCTTTCCCTAAAAGGGCCTGGACGTGCGCGGTTCTTTCCAGCTCCGCCGCAATTCAACCGAATTCAACTCAATCAGCAGGCACCTACTGAAGGCCTACTACGTGTGGGGTTTGCGGGCCTCCCAGGCCCAGAGTGTCCTATCCTTCCTTAACGACCCAGACAGGAGGCAGAACCTCTAGAGGGAGAAAGGATGGGTAGAGCTGTGTGCGCGCATTTCCCACCTCCTCGACTGCACGTCGAAGGGAGCCCGACTTTTCCTTTGCTTTGTCCCCTCTGCAGCCCCGAAGGCTGTCCTCCGAACGCAGGCGCCCCACTCACACCTGCTGCCCCGCACAGAATGGAGCAGAGCGAAGCCAGGCGCCAGAGGAGGAGCGAGAGGCCCGCCGCTCTCCGGGCTTGCCAGGTTTTCCGGCTCTGACCCCTCCTCACCGGCCTCCCTCCCTCCGGGCGCCCCCGGGAGCGGAACGCGCGGAGCCACCCGGGCG